TCAAAGCACGTGATCGATATCGTGATAGCCACTACCACAAGCGCACAAATTGTTGCCTGCGAGCCAGATTCGGAAGAAATGCGAGTCTAACGAGTAGTGATTGGACATGAGTCTTGACATGACACGTATAAAGTCACGGCTCATGTCCAATCCATTGAACCATGGCTTGTTCGATACCTGTGGGAGAATAGAATGTAACCATATTCCCAGATCACTCTCATTCCAGTTTTGTTGCCAGTTGGTGAGGACGTGCTGACGGGTAATTGAGAAAAATTCCGCAAAGGCGATTTGTCGATCAAAAATATCGTCTTCCATAGCGCCCACCTTTGCTAGCGAGTCCGCTTTCTCATTACCCGGAATAGAGCAATGAGATGGGACCCAAACTAAGGTGATAGTATAGTAGCAGTTAGATAAAGTACTCAATTTAGCTCGGATTTCGGTCAGGAAATACGAGGAGTGCTTCATCGGCCTCATTGATCGAATAGCCTCCAACGAGCTAAGGCTATCTGTAAACATAAATTGTGGTCAGATGGTAGTGAGGCAATTTGCTCTACTGCGTTGAATATGGCTGCTAGTTCCGCAATGTATACGGAACAGGGTTTTTGCAGTTGATATGAGGCACTATGAAATTCGTTGAATACTCCAAATCCAGTGGAAGCGTTTATAGTTGACCCATCTGTGAAAAAACTCTTATTGTTACTGACATGGTGGTACTTGTTTGCAAAAATTAAGGGAACAACCATCGACCGATGGTGATCTGGTATTCCACGGATTTCTTGCAACATGGTCAGATCAAAATTTACAGAGAAACTATAAAAGTTTTGAAGGCAAACACAAGAGGAATTGAATGAAGAAGGGCCAATCTCCAGCGTCATGTACTCGTAATAGAGACTCATGAATCTTGTTTAAGGATTTCTGTCGAGCAGCTTCTCAAAGTTTTCTATTACCAATGGGTTCATTACTTCACAACGGATAAGAAACCGGAAGGACAGTTCCGCGAAACGATCTGTCAGTGGAAGAACACCCGCGAGTAGTTCGAGGCTCATCGTATGCGTCGAGTGCATACAGCCAAGCGCGGTTCGGAGGCAACGGTATTGAACCCGTTGCAGCTTCAGGATATGTGTTTTTGCCGCGGATTGAAAGCAGAAGCTACTGTACTCTAGAACCGACAAAATGGTTGTTCGATGCAACCTGATCAGATCTTCCGGGTGTGCTCCCCACCAAGTTCCAGTAATTTTACGAAGAAAATTGATTCTTTGTTGGCATTTTTGTTTCACATACGCAATATTTTTCCCCACGTGCTTTTGGAATCGAACCAGACACCTAAATACTTGAAAGATATACTTTGAGTGATTGTTCTACCCTTTAGTTGAAGCTGTAACTGTGCAGGATGATGCTTCCTAGAAAAAACAACCAACTCAGTTTTCTCCGAAGAGAATTCGATACCCAGCTTCATAGCCCAAGTAGACAAATTGTCTAAGGTATCTTGCAATGGTCTTTGCAGGTCCGGTGCACTTGGCTCTATAACGGGCACAACCCCATCATCTGCAAGCTGCCTTAGTGAGCAATTTTCATCAAGACAACCATCAATGTCTTTTACATAAAAATTATAAAGAAGGGGGCTAAAACATGAGCCCTGGGGGAGACCCATGTGACTAATTCGTGAAGTTGTCGAGTTTCCATGAGAGAAGCTCATATATTTCTCAGACAACAAGTTGCTCAAATAGTTGTTCATAATTGGTGAAAGCCCACTATCGTGGAGTTTATCCGAAAGGACATCGATACAAGCAGAATCAAAAGCGCCCTTAATGTCCAAGAAAACTGAACCCATTTGCTGTTTTTGCGCATAGGCCAGTTGAATTTCAGTTGAAAGCAACGCAAGATATTCGCTCGTTCCTTTGCCTCTCCGAAATCCAAATTGGGTATCTGAAAGTAAACCATTCGACTCGACCCATTTGTCTAGACGAAAAAGAATCATTTTCTCCAGCAATTTCCGTATACAGGACAGCATCGCGATGGGACGGTACGAGTTATAATCCGACGCGGGTTTACCGGGTTTTCGAATGGCGATAACTCTTACTTGCCTCCAGTCATCCGGAACAATGTTGTGCTCCAGAAGTTGATTGAATAAGTTCAACAAGCGTCTCTTCGCGACGTCTGGGAGATTTTTAAGCAAGTTGAACTTGATAATATCCATTCCTGGAGCTGAGTTGTTACATGAAAGAAGAGCAAGTGATAATTCCACCATAGAAAACGGGGAATCTATTTTGTTACTACCCGACGGACGATCACGAACGATGGTTTGAACCGGTACCGAATCCGGGCAAAATTTCCGCGCGAATCTAAAAATCCATCTGTACGAGTACTCCATGTCTTCATTAATCGGTGATGACGCATTTCGCATTCTCCTGCCGACATTCCAGAGTGTTCTCATGGAAGTCTCTCACGACAAACCATCGACGAACCGACGCCAGTAACCGCGTTTTTCGGCTTTAGTCAAGCCCTTAAAGATTTTCTCGAGGTCGGTGTACCGCTCGAAATCCTCAAGCTTACCGTGTTTGCGGAAGCGTTTAAACGCGGCGAACTTCTCGCTGTTCGCGTTAGTGCATTCCTTATCCCACCACGGGATGGGGGTCGCATGCGAACGGAAACACCCGGAACACGATTCGTCTGGGCTCGCAGCGCACAATCGATGATGAGACGCGCGAGAAAGGAGTACTCGTCCAGCGGAGGAAGTACTTCAACCGATTGACTGGCGTCAAGAACCGCGGTCGCGAATTTTCGCCAGTCAATGTTTTTCGTAAGATCCTACGCGATGTCGACCGAGCGAGTAGAAGATGAACCATTGGTAATAGAAATTTTGATTGGCAAATGGTCACTACCGTAGGGATCTTGAATTACTTTCCACGAGCAATCCAACGATAGTGAGCTCGAGCAAAGTGAGAGGTCTAATCTGCTTATTTTTGCTGGAGGTTTGGCTACTCGTGTTGTTTCCCCGGTGTTCAGAATTGTCATTTTGAAGAAGTCGCACATGTCGTATATCAGGGTTGAGCGGTTGTCGTCGTACAGTTCCCCCAGCCTGTACCGTGAGAGTTAAAATCTCCCAAGATCAACCGTGGCTCCGGCATAGCCGTGCAGATATCCGAGAAACTCCGACCTCATTCGGAGAATTATCCATCAAAGGATATGACCGATGCAAGGAAGGACCACCTAGAAGCTAGTTGCTTCAAAAGAGTTTTCACGAATGGAAGCACTAAATTAATAATGCTCCTCGTTGAGTCAGAGATATTGAATATACTGAAGGAGCTATCCACAATACCAGAAAACGTGAACATGGGGGCATGTTCTTGCTGATTATTCAGCTGATTTTCTGGCCGAAAAACTAGGACACCTGGGGTTTTAGATAATCCTGGAAGTGACGGAAAGTTCTTGTCATAATTACAAGGTTTAAAACCCGGTGGAATGGGTTTCGGTGCATTTCCGTTACCTCTTGATTTTTCCAAGGTGGAAGGGTGGTCCGTACGAGTGGCCTTACGATGCTTTTTGGTGGTTTGTTTTTTTTTGCTCGTTTTCTCGTATTGCCTTTAAAGACAAACGGACTATCCTCACCGACCTCTGAGTCAGAGTCTAGATCATCAACTGGCAAAAAAGGAGAACGTGTTACTGCTTTTTGGTGTGGTCTGAGAAGATGAAGCGGTATTCTTCAAGAGTTATGCTATTGTTCTCTTGGAGCGAGCTTGCAGAGACCGCTTAATTTTGTCTCCCTGCTGTTTATACCTCGGGTAGTCAGTCAGGGTATGCAGGCTCTCCTTGCAGTACACGCATTTTAGAGGAGCACCGCAAGGACCCTCTTGATGCTGCTCGCCACTCTGATCGCAGCGTGGTTTGTTCGAGCAGTAGTCCGATGTGTGAGCAAGTTGTTAACATTTCGAGCAGTTCATTAAACCGAGATACAAACAGACGGACAGGCAGCCGAACCTTGCATATAGCGACGTAGTGAGGTAACGCTGAACCCGAAAAGGTCACACGAAACTAGTTTGACAAGGAATACGATTTGTTTGAGCCTACGACGGATACTGACTGCATTTGAAGGCAGTCCAATATCGTTGGGATTTTCTGAGGTGAAAAATCGCTGAAGAACACAAAATGCATTGAAACATCTTCGAATTAACTTCGTCTTACCGTAAGTTTCTTACGGATGAAGGCACGAATTGAATGGACAAATTGATTCGCTTGGAGCGCTTCTTTTGCTTTTGAGAAAAAAAGTGGGTGTAAATATTCGTCTAATAAAGAAATAAACATAAGAATTTAAGGCACGACATGTGAACAACGCTTATGAATTCCATAAGTGTGACTTATGAATTATAATTACACGATGTTAGTTCGAATACGCCTTCAACCTTTTCAATTTCTCAATCGTTGAAAGGCGAGCACCGTAATCTCAACGTTAATGGTCTGCTATAACATAAATCAACTGTCCATCATAACTTATATTCATATAGTCTACCCATTTCATATTGCAAATTCATTACGCTTGTTTAAGTTTAACGTATCACGAAATACCTGTACATGATGTATATCTAAATACAGTCCTTCCCATCTTTAATCATAATAAATATTTCCACTCTTCTTGTGTGTACAAACTACAAAACACATTTCATCTATCCGTTACAAAAGTTTGAATACTAACTTGATATAATTGCTCCACCTGCTGTTCTCTGTTCTAATCCTCCTTGATGCCAACAACAAAAGCAGAAAATGTTTTCAAAAATGTCCTTTTTGTACTGTCGATGTTGTACCCGGTCACCAGGTTTAAATTCTATCATATTTAGCTCCTGCCTCCCTTGCCATTCACGCTGTTGATACACACACGTTTTTTTCGCCGTCGTGTGTGCGTGTCGTTCTGTCGGTACAGTAGAACTATCTACCGACAAAAACGCGCTTAAGATGCTTCTAACTATCAAGCTTCTCTTTTCTATGTGCTTTTGTTCAATCAACAGGGACGTACATAGCAAGCAATTAAGTACAACTTTGGAGGCAGCTGTGGAAACGTGCGGTGGAGCTTCCGCTGTTTGCCCCTGGGATTCACCTCCAGCCTCGAAAGCTCTGGTTCCAGTTGAAACGAAAGCAACAACCTCCGAAAAGGAAGCACCGTCATCTGTATCCGTTTCGATTTGTCCTTGGGATGATGGAGATGCTAAACTACCCCCAGAAAGGTAAACCCAATTTAATTTATTTGTTTCTAAATGAGCCTTACAATGTTCAAATAATTTTACAATTTTAGCAAAACTAAAGCTCTGACCCCCATTCGTCCGACAACCGATATCAGTGAAGTTTCGGAGCGCATGAAGCGCTCCTGCGGCCTACGGCAAAACACGCTGGACAGTGATTTTCACAGTACTAAACGGCTGGTACCGGTGGTAACAGAACAGAGAAGAGCTTCCATGACGATAGCACCGAGGTCAGTAGAGTGCTGTTCACTTGCGAATCTATGAACTCATCTTCGGTTGACTTGACAGGTTTTCTGATCTCCAATTTTCTATCCGAGCTGGCTCAACTGACGTGGAAACGGCCGGAAGCAGTAAGTCTCTGCAGCAACAACGTTCCGTTGACCATTCACGGAACATATCGCAGGGATCGCTGTCGACTAGTTTTGAGGATCGGGAGGATTTGACGGAAACGCCAAATGTATCAGAGGAAAATTTGTGCAAACCGAAAATGGATAGTGTGTCTGAGTGGGATCCCGAAGTAGCGGGCAGTGTTATAAGTGTTCATAACAAAAATACCGCTCAAGTGAACACGAACAATGAACGTGGTAGTGGGTGTGTATGTGTCACAATACAAACAAACATTACTGCAGTGGCATGTAACGTTAAGCAAGAAGAAACAAAATACAGTATTGAAAGTAATAATGCAGAACGTAAAGTTATGCCAACCGCCACCACAGCTGGAGCTCAAAGAAAGGAGAGTATTGATGGTGACAAGCTACCGCCTACGATAAGTGTTTGTTTTGCGAATAATTCATCGGAAGAAGAAGATCGTCGGAAACGATCGTTAGGACCGAGTGAGAGATCGATTGATGATGAGAATCAGGAGGTGGAAGAGGTATAACTATTATTTATTTGATCATAACCGCATAACTGTCCCATATGAAATGGAAAACACGAACATTTTTACGGTGGTCATTAACGAGCATAGTCCAAGTCTCGCGGCACACATAAAATAAATATAGGTACTTGCAAAAATCCTTTTTCGTTTCAATTTCTCCTTTGAACCTGATTTTATTTTAACACACATTTTAACCAAATCTGTTTACGATTCCTTATACTTGTAAATTTGTTTATAGATGTGTGATATCAATTTTCATCAATATTTCGTTCTCGTATGCATGATCAGTAACCAACTAAGTCTGGTTCATAGAATCCTTCAATTTATTTTTCACTTATTTTAATCTATTTTAAGCAGTTGGTGGTCATCATTGAAATAAATATCTTGATGATCCAAAATTCCGAAAACCAATATTCCAAGTAAAAATTTTGGTTCGCAGCCTTGATGCCCATGATTTGGACTTATATCTTCTCCAACGTGAGTTGTTCGTAATTCAATAGCTACAAGAAACGGATTACCAATATATTATTGTGAAATGCTCCGTAGGTTTCCTTCCACCTGGTTGCTCCACCTTATCCCAATCCCAAAAAATCGCAATCCTAGACTCTCAACAATGCGAGAACACCAATAATGGGTATTTTTTATTTAGGCCTACTTTTTGTATATAAAAGACATCACTTTGGCAGCATTTCTCAATATTTCACAACTTAAAAAAAACCCCTTTCTATATGACACTCAATATAAAAAATTAAATCGAGTACATTCTAGGCGAGGGAACAAGAACTAAACAAAAACATTAAAAATGTGGTGCTTTGTAAACAGAGCACGTTACTGGCCAAACTTCCCTAATGTTCTTCATGACTTTAAATGATGTTTATTTCTTGTATTTTTGTGGTTTACATATATGAATTTAATTCTCATGTGTCTTTTTATCATTAGTTAATTTGAAATTTAAATAATCCTTATTTAAGTTTTTAGTTCTTAGACTTCCCTGCGGAAAACCTGCTTGGATGGAAAACGTGTCTGTAAGACAACCATCTTAAACGACTTTTGCCGGAGGAAGCATGGGTGATTTTAACCAGATGTAATTAGAAGTTGAAGTTACAAAGCTAGCACACAAGTCCGTCGTGCCAGATATGATCAAACGCCTTTTCAACGTCTAGCAAGGCCATGGCTGTAGACTTGGATACAGCTTTGTTACTTCGGATGGTGATTGGAGGAGCACCCCTTCCTACCAATCGTGCCATAGGACTGGCCCGATCGTTCTTCCTCTTCTTGCTGCGCTTTTCCGTCACAGCTGGCCGGTTATTCCCATCGATTGGAAGACCAACAAACCTGTTTGATGTTGGTACACCCGAGCCTTCTTCACCGGGGGCCTGGGTCATAACCGGGCTTCACCAGCGATGCTTTCCCATTTCGGAACTCATACACACACAAAACGGTTGTGCGGTGCTTCACCAAACACCACGAAAGAGAGAGCGTGAACACTATCGCAACGAACTTTCCGGACAACTTGAGAGCACGAGCTAAAACCGAACTGAACTCTCGATGAACATTTCAAATGGTCCTATCTGCTTTGATCGATTCTCTTCATCGACTTTCTCTTTTCATAACCACTGCTATGCAAACAGATTTCGCGCTAATTCTACCTCATAGTTTGATAAAGGAGGTTCTTATCTAGCGTCCAAAACGTCAAATACAACAGGGAAAGGTTTTGCAGCTGAGTTATTGACGAAAGAGAAAGTCGATGAAGAGAATCGATCAAAGCAGATAGGACCATTTTAAATGTTCATCGAGAACTGCTTGCCAGTCAAGCAGAGGCCCTAATGTTCTTCTGTAATCTGACAGCATATGTGAAAGTTTTCCTTTTTGTTCAAACGATTTATTTTTTAAGATTTCAAAGATTTAGCATTCGATAAAAATGCAAATTAGCCAACGGTTAAGTGTAACAAACATATTATTGAGAAAGACATAATTGATATTTATGAGCTGGGGCCCCCCTCCCACGATTTAGCCCACCATCGCCATACCGTTAATATGGAACCCTAGTTCATTTAGGAGGGTGCCGGGCCTCCTAGGCTCTCTTATTAGCTACGCCAATGCCATCGGCGAAGCCAAGAAGCTAGATGGACTTCCTGAAGATTGTGACACACGTATCGATCTCCGCTCTTATTTTCACAACTTCCAACGAGATGTCAAATAGCAGACATGAAAGTCTCGACAGTATTCTCGGTACTCGATCCATCATCCCCTTGAACCAGTGATGCAAAATATCATGACACTCACGTGACACTCGTCTTCGCATCAACCGACTATCGCTGACAGATCGTTTAATCACGCAGTGAGAGTTAGAGCCATAGCAAACAACAATCACCAGTAATGGTCGCTGCTCACAAGCAAAACGTTACACTCGCTGCGGATGATGAAAAGCCAAACGAAAACAGTAAAGAATTCTGCAGTGATGAGAAAAAGCAGCCCAGTGGCATGCGCATAGAAAACATGTTATATCGTGACTTCTTCTTCTTTTCCTTTATTTAACGTCGGTCTCTGTTCCGCAATCTAGTGCCAATCACCGACGGACATCGATTGCCAACCATTGACGGCAACCGAATGTGCAGGAAGGCAGCTTCCACACCTGCGTAGGATATCGCACCCATTCACAACACACATGGGCCGGGACCAACGGCTTTACTTCCCTTCCGAAGGAAGACGTGACCAGAGATTTTTATGCCTCAGAAAAATCCCACCGACCTCGGCTGGGATTGAACCCAGACCCATTGGGGTGTTAGAAAGCAGTCACGCTTACCACTACACCACCGGCGCAGGCTATTTATACCTTGACAGCGGCCCAGCACAGCAAAATAAACGATTTGAGCTCGGACATGCTGCCTACTGTCAAACACTGCTGTTGGTATAGGCCATGTCACCAACCGGTGAACACTCTTGTTTATTTAAGTTACCATGGAGACGTAATTGTATAATGATTTATGTACGGTCCTTATATTTGAAATGACGTTTCACATTCATTTAGTGATGGCCGATTTTCATTTTAATAATTGATTAATCGATTAACGAACCGAAAAGTAAACTATTTATAATCGGTTAGATCATGCCGATATAAGCATTAACATCTCCACAGGATCATCACCGATCGTTTCAAACATGTGCTGCACTCTCATTCGTGGAAAAATGGCAGCACAGCGAACAAAAAAAAATCGATTGGTTGTTAATCGAGTAATTAAAAAATGGGACATCTCTGATTTTGGTGTGATTGTTTTGATAAAAATGAGCGCAAAATTTTATCTCTACCGAGGGGGTAGCAAAACCACAAAATTACCTTGAATACGGGGGGTATTCATTGGGTGAAAGGGACCGTGAAAGAGGACACTAAAATAGAAAGTTTTTCTTCTGACAGTTTCATCTTAGTATTCATCTTTGGTTTCATCTTATAGCGAATTCGTTTATTATTCAGTTCCAACCTGGATCGGGTATCAAGATTGGGTCTGCTTGTTTTCTGACAAACGTCAGTTTGCTCGTTTGTTTTTAAAACCTAGCTCAGGTTGAGGTTCACACTGACAAAAAGTTCGGTTTCGCACTGGGTTGGAACTGGTGTTAACCCCGATAATAAACGAATTCGCTATTAGTATTCATCTTTGATGTCACTGGCCTGAGAAAAAGCGAAGCGACAGAAGAAAATGAAAACAAAGCCTACGCATTGCAAGTTCGTCTTAGCAGGCGCGACTGTGTGAGTTACAAACGAAGCAAGCAACATGAAACGGAAGCTGTTGGGCTCACTCACCAACACACTCAAATAAGCAAGCAAAGCAGCAACTGCTTCAAAACGAGCACATATGAGTGTCGTGATTGTCGGGCCAGATCGGTGATGGATCACAACAGAAGACGACATTCCCCAGTTGCTTTTTACTTCTTTCGTCAACTTGATGGAAGGTTATGGAGAGAGCTTCGACGAGCACATTGATAGGAATGTACAAAGCATTACTACCATCAGCTGTTTGGCGATCGTGATTGTGATAAGTCACAACTCTGCTTGAACAACCGCGGCAGTATATCCGGAAACTCGTACTCGTGCATAATCTGCCATAGCTGATATCGATCGATTGTGTCGTATGACGATTTGAAATCGATGAACATATGATAGATGGGCTCTAGACTGATGCAAAATTTGAAATTTTCGCTTCACAGTGCTCAAACGGTTTCAAGTCAGATCCTGATTAGCCTCCCAAAATTTAAACTCATTTGGTATGAAACTGACTTAGCACAAACTATTCGAAGTTTATATGGGAAAACCAAACTTTTTTTCATTGTCTTCTACCCATTTTCCATATTGCTTTTTCGAAAATTTCTATAACTATTCTTACGGAAAATTTTCTACGCTACAACTTTGCCGGAAATCGTTTTTCAGCCAAATATCAAATTAAATTGTTATTAATTTTTTAAAAGATTGATAATCTTATGGCATGATCAAGCATTTGTTCCGTGGGAAACACTTTATTCTGCAGTGTGACATAGTAGCCATGATATTTGTGCTTTATTCTTCGCATCAGAAACACCAATGTTGCCTGCTGAACAGTTGAATGAGCAAAATCATAAGACATCAGTGACTTGAATCATTACTAACTTTTGTTCTTTACATTTGATTGAAAAGTGGTCTTGAATAAAATTGTAGCTGAGAAAATTTGCTACAATTACTGCTATCATTTTTAAAAGCATAGTGATGTAGTGAATTGTTAGATAGATATGAACAAAAACATAAGTTTTGACATAGTAATTCCCATATAAACTTGAAATGGTTTGTGCCAAATAAGTTTCTTACTAAATAGTTCAAATTTTGGGAGGCTAAGCAGGACCCAATTTGGAACCGTTTAAGCACTGTGGAGCGATAATTTCAAATTTTGCATCAGTCTAGTGGGCACCTTGTATTCGCGCTTTTGCTGCAGAACCTGCCAAATCGTGAAAATCTGGTCCGTGCTAGCACGAGCACCAATCAATCCTCCATGAACTCCCATGAATTTGGAAGATAAGCTTCTAGGCTGCGCTCAGCAGTGTTAGTGGTCAGTGTGTCAGTGGTAGTTGCAGCCATGGTTGCAAATACTCATTTCAGTTAAAACAATGTTTTTTTTAACTATGAAATAATTAGATGCTATGATCATATTTTGAATAGGTAAGATACAAGAGGAGGTGGCAAAGAATGTGTTTGATATATTAAACCTGTTTATTTCACTTCATGATAGTCATAATCAGCGATTTTTCACACACTCACGCACTCACTCACTCGCTCACTCAGCGATCAGAAAATTGCTGATTGTGACTCATAGAAAGCAAAATTTACAGATTTTATGTTTCAAACGCATACTTTGTAACCTCTTCTTGTTAGTTACAAGTAAACCATGCCATCATACCATCTTTTGGATTTATTATTCCGAAAAACATTATTTTAGCTGATATGAGTCTTTGCAACCTTGGTTGCAGCAACTTGTCGCCCTTTTTGTAGATTGGGCATACGACACCTTCCATTCACTCTTTGGGTAATTTCTATTCCTCCCAAATCCAGCCCGTGCCTCACCACCGTATTGTAATATAGCTCGCTTGTTAGTTGGTCAACACCAGCTGCATTATTGTTTTTTCAACCGACCGATCTCGTCCTCAGCTTTTTGGAGATCAGGGGCCGGTAACCTTTCGTCTTCTGCACGTACTTCTAGATCTGATATCGTACCACCTGAGTTCTTCGCTGCATCGCCGTTGAGGTGCTCGTTATAGTACTGCTTCCACCTCCCAATCACCTCACACTCGTTCGTGATAAGGTTACCGTCCAACCAAGTCCACGTAGCCCTTGCGTTATAAAGGGTGTCCACGATGAAATTGCCACACACAAAATTGATTCGCAAAATTCGAGTTTTCATCCGATTGCCATCAAATTTTCAGGGATTGAGAAATAACTATTAAACTTCATTTTACCATTTTACTCGTATTTTATTTACAGTCCATACGCAAATGCCCGCACCTTGGCCTTAACCCCGGCCATAAGATTCTGCACAACCTGTGAATCAACCGTTTTTTGCATGTAAACCCATACTTTCTTCAGTTCCTCGACTGTCTTCACTACCTTAGGTCGTTTAAGAAGGTGCTGCTTCATAATCGCCCAGTACTTCTCGATGGGGTGGAGCTCCGGAGTGTTGGGAGGGTTGAACATTTTCGGCACGAAATTGACCTTATTGTCCGCATACCACTTCAGCACGTCCTTGGAGTAGTGGCATGAGGCCAAATCCGGTCAGAAGATTGTTGGGACGTTGTGGGCCTTCAGGAGAGGAAGCAGCCGCTTCTGGAGGCACTCTTTTATGTACACCTGTCCGTTCATCGTGTCCTGGGTCACGAAAGGTGCACTCCGCTTCCCGCACGTGCAGATGGCTTGCCAAACCAGGAATTTCTTCGCAAATTTTTACATCTTCTGAGTGCGGACATGCTCCGAACGCTGAACTTATCCTTGGCCGTGAAAAACAGGTTGCCGGGGATCTGTTTGAAGTCGGCCTTCACATATGTTTCGTCGTCCATGATGCAGCATTCAACTTTCGTCAGCATGTTGAGGTACAACTTCCTGGCACGGGTTTTGGCGGGCTTGTTCTGCTTCTCGTCGCGATTAGGGGCCTTTTGTACCTTGAACGTTCGAAGCCCAGCCTTAGTTTTGGCCTTCTGGACAAAACTTCGGCTTAGGTGCAGCTTCTTAGCCACATCCCTAACGGAGGCGTTCGGATTTCGGTTGAAGGCCCCAACTACGCGGTTGTGATTTTTGGTGTTGTACGGAATACTTTTTCCTTCACTTCTGGGCTTCCGATCGGTGGTCAACCGTTCCTTGAACCGCTTAATCACTCGCAACACCGTGGAATTCGCGATTCCCAACGTTTTAGCGATGGAACGATGCGAGAGATCCTTGTTCTCGTGATGAATGCGCAAGATTTTATCACGCACGAGCTGTTCTTTCGACTCCATTTCCGCGAGTTTTGATCACAGGACTTTAAAACTTGCAGGATGTAAATAATGCACTATTAACTAAATCCACCCAAATTTTCATTAAATTCTACCCAACGGTTAAAAAGTTAGAGCAATTTCATAGTGTGGCAATTTCATCGTGGACACCCTTTAGTCCACCACGTCCATAACTATTTTCTCTGTGTCTTTTACGTGGTACAACCAACTTCCAGAGTAACTGTGAAAAGCTGCACTTCCGTGCAGTGCTGAGTTGCATCACGGTACTGACAGCCTTTAGATTTTTTTTTCCTTTGGTTTGTTTTTTCCGTCGATCTTGTTTTCCGTGCTGAGCACCAATGCAATGCTACCGACGTGCCAGGAAGGCAGCTCCCACACCTGGACCCTACCTATCGACCCATCAACTCATGAATCGGGGACCAACGGCTTTACTTCCCATCCGAAGGAAGGCGTGATCAGAGATGTTATGCCTCAGAACATCCCGGCGGCGCCGACTGGGATTGAACCCAGGCCTGCTGGGGTGAGAGGTAATCACGCTTACCACTACACTTCAGCCTTTAGATTGACAAAAGAGATTCCTACGGTTAACAATCAAAGCAACTGAGAACCCTCTCTCCGTAAAACTTCTCACCAGTATGACACAACAACCGTGAGATATCGTTGTTTTGCTTTTCTCACTCATTCGCAATATCACTAACATCTGCCATGTGTTACCATCATATCACCGAGGAAAAATAAACAGACATAAAAATTGACCGTCATTCATTTCGAGCATAAATACGGTTATGACGGTCATTACCCTTCCAAAATCACGGATGAGGCGATAGCTGTGGTGTGTCAAGAAAAAAGTCTTATCCTGCATTATACAATCGTATCATAACCAGTAATTATTATTGAAAGAATTCATATCTTCATGAACACGTACTACCTGCAGTCACGAATGCTTATTCATGGATAGAGATTTTGCAGCTATTTATTTTTTCGGATACCGTGACGCTTGAGCTCCAAGAATAAGGATGCTGACCGCGTATTGTATCCACATTACCCAAGCCCAAGTATCAAGGGACCGGTAAAAAGCAAAACCAATAAAAAATCCTTGCGTAAATAGGAATTTCCCTCTAAATATTGGAATTGTGGCTAGCAATCAAAGCAACCATTGGTATCCATCAATAAAGAAAACTTCAAATCTTTACTTTGAAATCCGTAAGGAAACGCAATGTATTTCAATATATCTTCGCTGAAATTAATAGCAAATTCGTTTATTATTCAGTTCCAACCTGGATCGGGTATCAATATTGGATCTGCTTGTTTTCGGACAAACGTCAGTTTGATCGTTTGCTTTTAAAACCCAGCTCAGGTTGATGTTTACACTTACAAAAAGTTCGGTTTCGCACTGATTTGTCGAAGTTCCACCTGTTGGTTGCTTGATGGTCCTTGCAATTTTTCGGAGCAATTTAAAAATTTAAGATTTTTCGCTTTACTTTTCGCATGAAACGTAATAACGTTGAAAAGATATTTGTTTTGACAGTAAAATTCTCGTGAGCTTGTCAATTGTGAGTTGTGCCAGCTTTGAGATTTAATCAAAATGTTTCGTATGTTCTGAATGCAACAACTTTTAGCAAGAACAGGAAAATGAGGGAGCATTATTCTCACTTCCCACTTATAAATGCCCAACAGAGATGATCAGTGAGTGAATGATTTTGCTACTCTCTCCTTGTCATTTAATCTAACTGTCATGGATGGCTTTTATGAAGACGGTCTAGTGAGGTAGAGGTGTTTCCAAATGATATGCTAGTTGACCGTCATTTCTGAGATGTGACGGTTATGCGAGGATGACCGTCAAGGTACAATAACCGTTATGATAATGCACAGCACTGCTTCCGTGGGTAATGCAGCATCCATCTGATGCGCATATTACTGGGTAAATCCGGCGTTCCGAAGTTGCTCGATGTTGGGTCTCGGCGTCTAGCTACAACTTGCTCAGGTGTACCTTAATAATGATAATTTATAGTTTAATGTAACAAAAAGAGGTTGTTCATTATGTGTTTCACACAAAAAAAAACCTGTCAATTTTGCTTTCAAAGTGTCACATTCATTCACTCTTATCAACAACGGTTGAACCGATTTGAGTGGAATAAGTTGCAGTTTTTGTATATTGGGCTGCCGTGAAATCAAATCCAAAGTTTATTTTGTCATTAAATAAAGTTACGTGTTGCAAGAAAATAAGTGCTACTCACTTACTTTTCTCGAAGATGGCTGAACCGATTTGAGCAAGGATAACCCTAATAAACAAATACCATAAACGAACAATATCCCGGATGGGTAAACTATCCCACAAATGGTTTGGATGATACCCCGAACACGTTGTTAAGCTCTATTTTATGGTTATTATTATTAGCGAAGTAAATAAGGTAGTTCTTCTCTCTTTGGTTTCATTTTGTTTGTATTAAATTCATACATATCGGACTCCATTTTACGCAGTTGACTTTTTTTTGCTTTCATGGCCGACTTCTCACAAACGATTATTCGATGGCTCAAAGATATGGTTCATAAGTTATGGGTTTTTAAAGTACCTCTCCGAAAATCACAGAGAAATCAGAAAAGTGCCTGTCCGATACTAAATAATCACTCTATGTGTAATTTATTCTGTGCTATTTGAGTTTTAAAGCTGATATTGTTCCATCTACATAATGATTCGTATCCTTTCAAGATTTACTTCACCAGCGAAGAAAACGAAGAAGAAGGCATGAGAGTTGGGTTATATCACAGAATGCCAGAACCCCCTCAAGACATGTCGCCACTAGCGGAGGATGACAATTTCTCGGAATCTTTGTCGCAACCTAACCAATCTTCTCTGGAGCAGGTCGAGTACGATATAATGATGGAGGGAGACAATCTAGCTCCAGGTTGCGTGGCTCCCGCTCCTACCCCAGCACCTTTGATAGCTCCACTAGCCGAGGTGGAGATGGATCCAGGTGATGATGAACCGGATACGGAAACGGAACACACGGAAACGGTGACAGTACACGTGACCACCAGAGAGAAGCAGGAGCAAGAACCGGAGGCGTCTGCCGGAGCGACTGTAGTCATCATTGAGGATCAGGTCAAGAGGAAAAAGCGTAGAGACCGAAGAGATCGGGATAAGGATGCGTTGCAGCAGCAAAAAAGCGAAGAGGACAACAGCGAGAAGAAAGGGAATGCCGTGTGTCCTTGGGACGATGAGTAGGTGTTTGGATGATGATGGTTTTCGACGGTTAATAATGTTTTACTTTTTTTTCAGGGATGAGTCAGCTGCTGACGATGCTCCTTACGTTAAAACGTACTCTACTCTAGGTTATTTGTAAGCAGGTTAGACAATTTCGAAGAAAAAGGTAAATTGGATAAATTATGTTGTTAAAACGTATGAGAAAGTCACTTTGACAAGCACTGACAATCGTAAGTCTTTTGATAGTTGCAAGTACTTGTTAGCATTGTGGGAAATGAAATGAAGTGAACCAGCGATGAAAGAGGTTAAGCAGAGTCAAATTTCCATTAGGATTACGATTCAAGCCCTAGAACTAATCCTGTTGTGAAATTTCTCACGTAAAACATGCAATGACAGCTCTACGATAGACAGTATGCGATGAACATAAGCGGAAGTAACATGAGAGAGTTAATACTCCCAACTGAAAGATTTCCCGGGTTTTAACATAGTCCAGGATTTCTGCTTGTTGCATCTAAGAGCCCCAATTTATATATGAAAAATAATTACTAAAATGCATCAATCTTCAACTGAAACACCGCTACTGTGACTTTATTCTTTCATGTTACTTCCTACAGAGTGGATATTTTTTGAAACTACGATGGTAAAACTAATTGTGTTGGTTTTCTTGCAGTAAGCGTGAAGCGAAACCATATCGATATCTCAAAATGTGTTTGAACAACTGCAATTAGCTGGTGAAAATGAAATACGAGTGCGCATTCTTTGTTTAGCACGGAATCAAAACAATACAATACATTACAAATTTAGGATTAATCAGCTATCTAGCCGTAAAATAGTGTCTAGTTAATGGAAAATCCTACGTGTTAGAAATAAGAATATTTAATGAACACATTCTGAGAAAAAAATATGAATGTTTTTTAATAGTGCATCGACAACTTGGAGGGATGAAAAGAAGTTAAGAAAATGATTCATCTCAGAAAATAGAAATGCTGAGCCTACATTTGAACCAGTCAGGAAATTTTAACAACTGTTCCTGTCAGTCACTTTGATGATATAAAAATATATTTAAATCATGTACCTCTTGCGCATTGAAAGCATTTTTGGAGGAAACACGTAAGCTTAAGCATATAATATTTGATCAACTATATTGAAGTATATTATTCAAGCATAAAGTACTAACATCATAATTATACTACATCTACAACGTAAGCATATTTATACATCACCGAATCATAGCACATGGAAATAACATATTGGAAACACTGACTCATAAGCACCCTCATCACAAACATTGACATCTTTCAGAACAGAGACATTATATCATTTTAATCAATTTTTATTTTTGATCAAGAAAACCAACCCTGTAGTCATCTGCAAGCAATGGAATTTGGAAGTTGAATGGAAATTACAGATATTGGTTTGGCCAGAGCTGTCATTGCTGTGGTTACGTTTTATGGATCCGGAAATATTTCAATTTGTTTATAAATTCTACAAAAAATCGCTAGTAACGAAAACCACCAATTTAACTGAAGCAAATGTGATTGTAAATGACATTGAGTTGTTTATAAATATATAAAGTTATAGCATGCAGCGGTTATCAGAAGAAATTCTATTTTTCCTAAATTGGGTAATCCTGAAAATATTAGCAAGCGCAAACAGCTAATGAAAGATTTGTGATTGTCATTGCCTGGTGGGTAGGTGAGAAGATTGACTAAAAATGTAAAGAAAAGCTCCGAGATGTTTTTTCGTAAGAGAAGGCACGATTTGCGTATGTCTGATTAATATGGCAACCTATTTACCAAATCAACCAAAATTGTTACAAAGTGAGTGATTTTATTCATGAATGAAGAAAAAATTCAACTGAAAGACGAAAATATTCATGTAAATGGTTGTTGTTTTAGCTATGCAACTATTGAAAACGCTATTCTCTCTCTTCTTACATGAAGTCAAACAAATATATTCAACAATTACCCAAATTTATCTCTACAAACAAAAGCAAAACAAACAAACAAACAAAAAAACCTTTTGGATGTTGCAACTCAACCATTCGTCAGATCACAACTAACTAGATCTTATCAACTAAAAAGTAAATGAAATCATTATCAGATGAAAAATTAATGCCACCGGATATAGAACTAAATTTAACATTTATTTTGAGCTATCTTACCCTCTTTGACCGACAAATAATAATAAGAAAAACAATCGCGTAGAATGCCACAGCATATACCAATCAAACAGCATCTTTTAACGGGTATAAACAAATAAGTGGATGATTGAAGTTGTACGTAGAAGCAAACTTTCTCCTCCAAAGCTATTCAACTATTTTTCAATGTCAGAAGATGTTAGGAACATTTTGCAAATAAAATAATCAAAAGCGACGATGTTTTATTTTTCTTTAGAGTGCATATCAAGAATTTGAATCAATCATCTTCGTTTGATACGTTTTAGAACACGTATATCACATTTTCGAATGCATAACACAATTATAAAACCGTTGAGCGGTGATAAATTTGACTGATTTGTGTTGACTAACTCTCATGTAGCATCACTTTCAAATAAAACTTCAGTACAACATCGTCGCTTTCCTATTAGTGAGAAAACAAACAACCAAAAACCAGGAGATTCTGTAATGATTAATAAGTACTAGAAGAATGTGACAGTATAGTAATTCAAGAAACCAATGATACAACGCGACAGTTTATTAAATTTTATCGCTCGTAAAGTGAAACTAGTTTAGTGAGAGAAAATATATTAAATAATAAAAAAAAAACATCGGTGAAATTTAATAATTTGACTTGAATATATTAGTGAGTAATAAAGATTACACTTACAAGTAATGTTACTAACAAAAGCAGAAAACAAAGCTAGTTGAAAGAAAATAAACACAAAATGCCAGTTAATGTGCCGCTGTATTAGTGACTATGTTTAAAAGATAAATATAAAGATTTAAGTGAGCTGCGTAATAAAAACGGAAGGAATGTCAATGAATCGATATTTGCTGGACCCATGAGTAATTTCAGCATAGAATGCTATGTACGTACAATCCACAAAAGATAAAAATAATGTAAGGGAGATTGGACACACTGGATTCCCTGTTTAAATGTTGGATACATCTCAGCGGAAAAGAATCAAATTTGATGCGGCTTACACAAAGGTTCAAAGAAAAATATCTTAAATATACTCTAAAGCCTCCAAAGTGATGTATAATTTCTCAAAAAAACGTATTTTCTGAGAGAGATTTTACGCCCATTTGATGGCATGCATTTTTGAAACGTAGAGGACTCAGGAACCTTCCATATGAAATGTTTTATGTACTCTCGAGCTTCTGTCATGCAATATACACTACAGTTTTAAAAAAATAGGGAGACACTTTTTATGACATGCATTTTAATTTAAAGTTTTACACACATTCCGGGATGGAAATGGGGGTTTAAGTACCCTCGAACAGAGATTGATTTTTTCCACATATATCAGGATTGATTGTGTCTAATCCATGGGGAATCAAAAGAAACAGAAGCAATTCGATGATATAATTGATTATAATTAGAATTAGCGATTTCATGCGTTAAAAAATTGCATGTTGACTGAAAAAAGTCCGAATGAGTGAAAACATAAGAACAGCTCTCAAAAATACAAACAATTCACAAACTAACGCAAATGCCACCATAACAGCATAACATAACCATCCGTCTAGACGAAACTTTTTGGCAACATTTTTGGATTTCGAGAAAACAGGGGGGAGGGGATAAGTGCCCCAGTGATAAAGTGTGTCCAGTCTCTCCTACCGTTAAACGAGAACCGAATGCACCTGTGGAAAGGTAATCAAGTATGGAAATTGGAAACAAACTGTCATTTGTTGTTGTAAGTCGAAAAAGTACAATAATGGATAGAAAAGAGGGTAGTACGAAGCGTAAAAAATAAAGAAGGAACAAAAATGTTACAAACAATGTTACGCGTTTTAGATTAACGAAGAAATCCTCAAACATGGCAAACAGGGCAAACGGCATGGGAATGGAAAGAAGCAAAATCACACCGAAATTGTTTACTTCCTTTCATACGATCGTCTCATTTTTCGTACGCTTTCCACACGTGTTGCGTAATCTCGTACATACCTACTTTAGCCGCAGGTAAAGGGATGTCACTATCGTATGTGTCACAGGTGATTGATGTGAGTTGGAGGGGGATTTTGTACATATTATATACCGTTGAAACACATACCTATTTCTATTCAAATCCTCCAATACGGAACATGGTAGATGTTACCTGTTTGGTTACCTGCTAATGAATGCGCACACCTTCATCAACTGGAATAGTTTATCATCAGAATAGTGATAGAAAATAGACGAGTTTGCGCTCTAAATGCATGTGTTGCTGCCAACCGTTGAAAGTCAATAAAATCAGCATATTATTCTTTATTACAATGTAAAGAAAAGTATTCAATTACTCACATTTATTAATAAGTTAAGTGCTTATCTTCAGTTTCTTTGCCAATAGTATTATTTCGTGAAACCTTGGAACTGTGATTTATTTCAAGTTGGGGACGGACCCATCTTTGGAGACAAGTCACAAATGATCTAAAATATTATAAAGTTACAAAAAAAAATTAAATAAAAAAAATCTTTCGTATACGCTTACATTTTTTTGATAAAAATTGGTCTAGTACTCAAGCTCAAAAGGGGTTTATTTTTGTTCGTGGATAACATCTGTAAATGAAAAGAATTCCGCCTTCTCCGAAAGTAGTCGTCAGCATGGGAATGGTAGTGTTCTCAATTATAGTGTCTGGAGCAGAGATCACAAATATACATTTTTACAACAGAAAAGTAATCACTTAATTGCATGGGGCCAAGGCAGAGATGCCAGATTTACAGACATTTCTGTGAATGTACAGACATCTTTTTTTTTCACAGACATTTTTTTTTTCGTTACTGACATTTACAGACTTTTTAGTTTTTTTCACAGATATTCACAGACTTTTGTAGCCAAGGGAAAATTTTAAAATTTATTTGGTTACACTGTTTTACATCTTTAATCAAATTACACGTGCGATGCATTTTTCAACACGCATTAGAAATTCGCGCGTTTTCAAATCCACCACGCGAACGAGCTGTCAATGTTACAGACGGTCATACCCAAGTAACATTTCAGTAACCATTTAGCATCCACTCTGATTTATCATGGTTTTATAACGGTAATGAACAATCAATTTAGTTCAAATATAGCATTTTAAAGTGTAAAACATTCCTGCTTAGTAATTCAGCTTTTTGCTGTTTTAAAAACCTTTTATAGTCTGGCAAGAAAGTCAAAAACTGTCTTGTTTTAAAAATTAATTTAAAACAGTTATCAATCCCTCCTTTAAACTGTTCTGTAATTCAAGCATAAACGTCATTAGCAATTGTTTATTAATGTATAAAATACATTATAAACGTGTTCTATCATTATAAACAATTAGGTTTTGCATTAGAGAACAAAGCATACATTGTTGCTTTTAAGCCTTTTTTAAAGTGCATCATGAACTCCTCAATTACTTTGTTTATAAATTGAGCTTAAAAGATGGTTCCTCATAGTTAATAAATGCCAAATTTATGACAAGGAAATCTCGAAGGATAGACGAAGTAGGATAAAAAAAATCAAGTCGATTTCAGATAAATTTACTTCTTTAGAAGAACCAGCACACCACCAACGACTGACCATCTGTCGGAGAAGAGTAAAGTGAGCGGGGCCCTCGAACTCATAGAACATTGTCTAAAGTTTAAAAACATACAAGCCTTCTCCAGATCTTGCGATGACAATCGAAATAACAACCGACAGCAAACCACTGAAACTGTCAGTTAGCGGAGATTAGCTGGTTTCCGATCCAAAGCAGCGATTTTATTCGGCGAAAGACTCTTCAAAAATTTCATTCAACCGTACATCTCTGCATCATTGGATGGTGCACTTCTGTAACCATCCGGAAGAAGGTGATCTTTTTTGGGAACGATTGCGCTTCCAGCTGTTCGAAATGCGAAATGTTGTAAAACAGTATCGCAAGCTATCTGAGTAACTGCTCCCAATCCATCAGAAAAAAACCGCCCGAAGGAACCCTGGATCCACAGCGCAACTAAATATCTTTTTTTTTTTCTTTGGTTTGTTTTTTCGTTGATCTTGTTTTCCGTGCTGAGCACCAATGCTACCGACGTGCCAGGAAGGCAGCTCCCACACCTGGACCCTACCTATCGACCCATCAACTCATGAACCGGGGACCAACGGTTTTACTTCCCATCCGAAGGAAGACGTGAGATGTTATGCCTCAGAACATCCCGGCGGCGCCGACTGGGATTGAACCCAGGCCTGCTGGGGTGAGAGGTAATCACGCTTACCACTACACCACCGGCGCCGTTTCAACTAAATATCGAAAGATAAACAAAGTTTGACGTTTAACTTTTTGCAGGTAACTTTGCCTTCATAAATGCTGCCATAAATCTGAACGGGTTAAGATCAAGCAAAATAGCTTTAGATAAATACAATTCAGTCTGCAAGTTTTCTTCATAAAAGCCATTTAAAACCTTATAAATTTGTTAAGGAATTCTTGAAAGCAAAACAACTTTTTCACAAATAACCCATGAAAATCAACTTTTATGCCACCGCCATGTTACAATTAGTTTGCTTGTTTTTTACAATCTTCGATTTTCAATCTAAAGTTCCTTAGATATAACTATATTTTGGTAAATTTAGCAATGAGCAAACATTTAAATGTGAAAATAATTATAAAAAATCTCGGCCAAGCTCGAGAATTTTTTTTTCAATGTTGAATAATTATTCAAATCGACGTTTTACGAGGGTGGGCCTAATTTTTTCGATAAATTTGGATATTCTTTAATAAAATATGCTTTTCTAGTGGATTCAGCATGCGACTAGGGGAAATGGCTCTGAAAGGGTTTTTATTGTTGCTAAATAGCTTTTATTGTAGCTTTCAAATGGTTTTCAATGCGTTCGTCATACATCTTTTTGCAGTAAATCAATCTTGAAGAGCTTCGAGAATACACCCTTCAGAAACTTCTCCAGGGTGGGCCAACTAGACATATTCTAGTCTTAATGAGGTTTTGGTGGATGCATTAATGACAAAATAGCCTTGACCAGGGTTTTATGAACGTTGTTTTATAGTTGCTTTGTAGTATTTCATAAAACTTAAAATATTACTTGGATAGTTATAGATCTGTCAATGTGCTGTCATGTTGTATAAAAAACGAACATTTTGCATACGATTTGAAGGTTTGTTTGAATACGTCAACTCATGTTGGCCGGTCTATAACTTGACTGTCACTGTCACTGAAAAAGTGAATGAAACCGAGGGGGGACAAAATCCCAGATTTATTCAAATGTTGCTAAAAATTACTCTAAAGTTTGATTTATTGATTTATCGTCGGAGAAATCCATTTTATCGGATTCATCCGATACAATCCTGCTTAAATCTCTAAAAACAAATAATATCGGTTTTTATGGTTTTTATCGGTCACATCTCTTATATCTGGTCACCTCTCTATAAGTATCATGACAGGTAACGATGAAATTCGTTTGTTTATAAAAAGGAACGTCGTGAAATCTCAACCAACAATTCAAAAAGGCGGATCAGCTTTTGTAATCAAATCTTGTGATGCTCTTTTCTCGCAAATCGAAGCTCGCCTTGCCAAATCAACATCAACAGGGAAAATTCTCTCCTAACCTATGGTGGAATTGGTTTGCGTAGCCGTGCTTCAGTTTGCAAGATAAGGTCATTACAAATTTGGTGATCCACCCTTTAGTATTGTTGGTTGATGTCGTATGTTCAAAAATCATTTATGGTGATTCCTTGAAGAGTACACAAATTGCCTGATGATGGCTGAGATGCCCTATTACTTCAAGTGTTCTAGAGCACAAATTTCGGACACAGTTGTGACATAACTCATGAAATTGGAACTCCCTGTTTGCTGCATCAAATGTGAATTTCCCGTTTCATTGTTGTATGTTTTGCGGCAGCTGTATTCTTGAAATTTTGAAGTGATAGTAAAGCGCATTATACACATTATAGGAAGTACGGAAACGCATATGTCACGAATGGGAATTCTTGGATATCTCCAAGGTCATTAATGATTTCCATCACTACCTCAACAGACTTCCCCAATCTCAGGCATCCGGTTAAGATCAGCATCGATGACACCTACCGTTTGGTCTTGGGTTTGGTCACGTTTGGCCATCAATTATGTTGCCAAATCTCCGGCAAACAATCATAGAAGCAGGTGCTCAAGAAAGTGACAGTTCACATCACAAAATACACTAAAATAACATCAGCATAATGCTCGATAATTCTACCACATCCAAGATTATCGATGAATAGTGGCAGGTACTTGTTATTATTCATTAAGACTTTAATTTATCTTAAAAAATCGAAATTTCGAAGCAAATTTAATAGAAATCCGTTGTATGAAATGTTAAGCGGATTACTTTCATCGCCTTTGAACGAAACGGACAGTGTGTTTCCATCCTATTCCATCTTTTTATTCGAGACCACCCACCCCGGATGCAGTTTTAGCATAAAGGTAACTCTAAGACTAGAAGGTCCCGAAGGAACGAGCTCAACTTTTTGGCTCAGCTCTGGTACTATCTTTGGTCCCAAGCTAATCGATGCACCCCTCGAAACATAGGAAACGCCTTATTTTATCTGTCAAATTTTCATAGCGAATCAAAACAAACATAGTGTAGTACTGGAATTTAAACTAGAATGGGGTACGTTAATCGATTTGCTTGGGACCAATAGGCTAGTCAAGTAGTGAGCCAATTAAAAATCGTTAGTTTCGAATTGATTGTTGGTTTTAGTGCTGAACGAAGCAGCCATTTTCGTCGTTTTGTACTTGAATAAAAGTCGTAAAAATGTGGAAATAATCGAGAAAAATCAAACCCCATAACGAACATGCATACCTATTTTTGTAAGCAACATTTCTTGCAAGTTGACATTCCGAAAGTGGTATTGGTTTGCGTGGGTGTACTTTGGTTCGCGTGTTATGGCCTTAGAAAGTTTGTTTACAAATGCTTTTGTGACGTTATCAACTGTTATGCCTGAAATACAAATCATGACAAGTTATTAAACCATGTGATTTTACTTAACCCGATCGCTCATCTCTTGGAGAGTTATGATCGTTTTTCCATGCCTAAACATATATTTTTTAATACACTATTTACTTTGGCCATGACAAATTTAAGCTTAATCACCGCTATTTCCAAGGCATGAAGATTTGAATTAGTAGTTGAGGTGGTCATGTTGTAGCATTTGTTCCTACCACTCTATTATGTGGAATTAGGCCCAACAGTACTGCCAACATTTACTAACATAGCAAAGCAAATCTATCGACTGGAGTCAGTCACTTACATTCTTGAGCAGTTTGCACTATGCAACTCAGTGGAAGACCAATCGATATCCTCACTTTGCTAGTTCGATTTTTCCTCGTTTAACGTTCGGTTCGCGTAGTGTATTTGTTCGATTTTTTTCCTTCATTTATAAAATTTACCAATAAAAATGTTGAACATTCGGCAAACGATCATTGCATGTGGATAAATTGGTCCTTATGGATAGTGAAAATTCTTTCAAAGTGTCACTTTTGTATTCAAATTTGAGTCAACCGTCAATTTTGAGTTCTGTTTTAAGCACCTCAAGATCAACGATAAAAAATGAAATCGAAGCTTAGGAAGTGGAAAAAACTTCGATTTAGACTGTGATGCTTTACAAAGCAAACTGTTCCTCAGGAAGTAGTGGTTCGCCGATTGGATAAATTAGTCTCTCTACAAGTTTTAAGGAAATAAATTCCCATCAAACTCCGTTCTACGAAACCACCCATTCAATCAACGAATCAACTGTCGTCAGATGACCTAGAAGTGCGCACTCTGCGGAACGGTTGTCTTTCTCCGTTCTGGTGAACAATTCGTCACATCGAAAGTAGTGTGAAAACCATTGACCATCAACCCTTCCTGGGTTGATTCTGTTTATAGCAATAGTAAGATTCATGGCTGAGGATTTATAAAAGTTTCGGAACAAAGGCTTCTTAAAGCCTAAACAGGTGAATGAACCATCACTATCAACATGCCATCGAAGTGGATCCTACTTCTGATTCCACTGCTAACTTACCTTCAGTCGACATTCGGTGCAAAAAGTCAACGGTAAGTTGTGTGATTATACTACTATAGTTCGGTAGCGATTACCGCGTTGTAAAGAGGCCATTTTGTTTCCCTAATGTTCGCGATAAATCAACCGCAAAAATAAACTAGCTGAACTCACCAGTGCCTCTCTCGGATCCCGGACGAAAGTCAGTGTGGATGTTTTCAATGTGATAAATGTTTATCGCGAATTCCGTCTAGAAATTATGTAAGGATGGTGCATGGTGACTGATGTAAACATTGCCTCTAGCAGTATACATGTTCTCACCAGACTATTATTTTTTTCCTTCTTTCGTAGTCAAGGACGATTTTATTGTATGGTAGTACATTAAGGGAAGATCAGCAGTGTTACACAGTGGAAGGGAAAACGTTTCACAGAGAAACCTGTCACATGTTAAACAGAATGGTGAAATATAAGTTTATTTTCGTTTTGTGCATGTGAAGCACGTGACTTTTAGAGTAGGTTAAGATTTAATTTATCATAGCATCAAAATGTGAAAGCTCAATCACGACCTATATTAAGAGCTCTGCATAATCTTCGAAGTCAAGTTATGAGAGCTTTCCATTTATGATGACAGCTGACGAGTGACTGTTGACGATAAATGAAGAAAAATTCATCGTAGGCGATTTGTCGATCATAAATATCGCCTTCCATAGCGCCCACCTTAGCAAGTGAGTCAGCCATCTCATTGCCGGAATCGAGCAATGAGATGGGACCCATGCAAAGGTGATGACAAAAGATCTTAAAGATAAAGCACTTAGAAGCTCTCGTATTTTTATGAGAAAATACGAGGAGTGCTTTACCGCCTCATGGAGCGAATAGCCTCGACAGAACTGAGACTATCCGTAAAAATAAAATAGTGATCTGGTGGTAGTGAGGCGATCGATAGTATAAAGCCGCCAACTCAGCAATATATACGAAACAGGGAGCTTGAAGCATTCGAGAGGCGCTATGAAATTCGTTATAAATACCAAAACCAGCGGACGCCTCTATTAGTGATTCATCTGTGAAGAACGATCTTGCGGAATCAACTTGGCCAAAATTTGCAGCAAAAATTGACGGAGCAATCATGGAACGATGATGCTCTGGGATTCCGCGAATCTCTTGCGTCATAGATAAATTAAAATTAACTGAATTTCCGAAGTTGGAGAAGCTTACATGATGAGGATTATGCTGTGAAGGGCTGACATCCTGTGTTATGTACACGTAGTACAATGACATAAAACGAGTTTGAGGGTTCAGCTCAAGAAGCTTTTCAAAGTTTTCGATTACCAGTGGGTTCATAACTTCGCAACGGGTGAGGAGCCTGAGGGACAATTCCGAGAACCGATCCGATAGTGGCAACATGCCCGTCAACACTTCTAGACTCATCGTATGAGTCGAGTGCATGCATCCTAACGCGATACGAAGACAACGATACTGGATACGTTCCAGTTTGAAGATGTGAGTTTGAGCCGCCGACTGGGAACAAAAACTACCGTATTCTATAACCGATAAAATCGTTGTCCGGTACAACGTTAGAAGATCTTGGGGATGAGTTTCCACCACGTTCCGGTAATTGTTCGGAGAAAATTGATCCTTTGTTGGCATTTTCGTCTCAGATACTCAATGTGGGATCGCCTGGTGCATTTGGAATCGAACCAGACCCCAAGATATTTGAAAGACATAGAATGAGTGATCGGTTTACCCAAAAGTTGAAGCTTCGGTTGTGCTGGGCTATGCTTCCTAGAAAAAAACGACCAACTCAGTTTTCTCCGAGGAGAATTCGATACCTAGCTCGATAGCCCAAGTAGACAAATTATCTAAGGTCCTTGCAGGTCGACCCCTTTGGGCCCTGTTATAGACACTACGCCGTCATCCGCAAGTTGTCTCAACGTGCAGTTGTCACTTAGTCAATTGTTAATTTCTCTGACGTAGAAATTATACAAAAGGTGGCTTAAACATGAACCCTTGGGGGGACCCATGTAGCTAAATCGAGAAGCTGTTTGAGTTTCCATGAAAAAAGCTAATATGTTTCTCTGACAGCAAATTGTACAAAAAGTTATTCATTAATGGAGAAAGGCCACAAACGTGGAGTTTGTCTGAAAGGACTTCAACCGATACTGAATCAAAAGCCCCCTTAATATCCAAGAAGAGAGAAGCCATTTGTTCTTTTTTAGCAAAAGTCAACTGAATTTCTGTGGAAAGCAACGCGAGACAGTCGTTGATTCCCTTGCCCATACGGAAACCGAATTGAGTATTTGAGAGTAGGTGGTTTGGCTCAACCCATTTGTCCAAGCAAAAAAGGATCATTTTCTCCAACAACTTTCGAATGCACGATAAAATCGCGATGAGACGATACGAGTTATGATCTGACACGGGTTTTCCAGGCTTTTTAATGGCTATAACTCTCACTTGCCTCCAATCATCCGGAACAATATTTATCTCCAGGAACTGAAAAAAATAAGTTCAACGTCTGGGAGGTTCTTCAACAAGTTGAACTTGATTCTATCAGCAACCGGAGCCGAATTACCACACGAAAGGAGCGCGAGTGAGAGCTCCAGCATTGAAAAAGGCTGGCTGATCTCGTCTACCGAATTCGTCGTTTCGCGAGGAATCATCTGTGCCGGCACGGAATCAGGGCATACTTTTCGCGCGAACTTTTTTTTTTTTTTTTTTTTTTACTTTATTATAGAGATTTTTAGCCATAGGCTAGTTCATCTCTTGATCGCGCGAACTTGAGAATCCAACGATCTGAGTATTCCTCGCACTCGTTGTTCGAAGATCGGTTACGTATCCTTCGCGCCGCGTTCCAAAATTCATCGACATTTCGCGCGATAATCCGTCCACGAATTGCCGCCAATATCCACGGTTCTTGGTTTTGATGAGGCTCTTGAGTTCGCGTTCAAGAGAAGAGTACGCTTCAAAATGCACGGGTGTTTCGCGTTTCCGGAAAAGCTTAAACGCGTCGGAATTTTTACGATAATTCTCAGTGCATTGCTGGTCCGACCAAAGGGAAGGAGGTTTCCTACGGAAAGACGTTCCGACCGGCCGAGTTTGAGCTCGATGCATGCTGTCCAAGATTAGATTGGAGAGGAAGTTATATTCCTCCAATGGTGGAAGCCCTTCTACCGACGACACGGCTTCCTCTATCGCGGTCTTGAACGTTGCCCAATCGATATTACGGGCGAGGTCATACACGACGTTAACGGATTCCGACGGATTGAACCCACTGCACAGTGGTCCAGAATGCAGATTTAGGTGGAATGATATGTTTTGAGCCTGAAATTGAAACTTTAGACTAAAAGTCTCTTCTACAAAGTTGTTCCTTATAGTTAGGCCCTCATTTTTATGACAATGAATTCTAGGGTGGTTCCTATTATCATTAAAATCAAAAATTTAACTTTTTTGTTTGAATAAATTAAGGTATACATTCTTTGACAAAGTTATAGCTGAGCAAATTTGAAGCAACTTTATTGAAAATAACTTTTTTGTATCTCTTAAATTGGCCGATTTAGAGCTATTTTCTTGAATTGAGTTAGGGTGGCTCTTGAAAAAACAGTTTTTTTGTTCTAGTTTTCTTATTTCAAATTTCTCAGCAAAGGTGTCTTGGAATAACTTTTAGATCTTAAAAAGGCGCAAGTTTTTGCTACACAAAGCTTGTCAATATCTTTCGCCGATAAAGAGTTATTAACGTTTTTATACTAAAAATATGCACTTTTCAAATGTTAATATCTCTGGTTGCGGCAAAAAAAAAAAAGTTTTTTTACGGCATTTGAAAGGGCGTTTGTTATTCTCAATAATATGACAAAATTGGAGGTACGTTATTTTTTAAATTCGTATAAAATCAATTTGAATTTATTCATATTTTTACTATATTTGGGTATATCTTTTTTATTAGAAGAGATACAGGCAACAAATTCAGGTATAAAACATTCGTCTAAAAGAGTTTTAAAATTCTCTAGAAGATAACTTTTATGAGAAATCTTCTAGAGACTTTTAAAACTCTTTAAGACAAATGTTTTATAGTTGGATTTGTTGCCTGTATCTATTCTAATAAAAAAGATATACTCAAATATAGTAAAAAATATGAATAAATTCAAATTGACTTTATACGAATTTAAAAAATAACGTACCTCCAATTTTGTCATATTATTGAGAATAACATACGCCCTTTCAAATGCTGCAAAAAAACTTTTTTTTTTCCCCAACCAGAGATATTAACATTTGAAAAGTGTATATTTTTAGTATACAAACGTCAATAACTCTTGATCGGCGAAAGATATTGACAAGTTTTGTGCAGCAAAAATTTGCGCCTTCTTAAGATCTAAAAGTTATCTGAAGACACCTTTGCTGAGAAATTCGAAATAAGAAAAATTGAGCAAAAAAACTGTTTTTTTTAAGGGTCACCCCAACTCAATTCAAGAAAATAGCTCTAAATTGGCCAATTTAAGAGATACAAAAAAGTTATTTCCAACAAAGTTGCTTGAAATTAGCTCAGCTATAACTTTGCCGAAGAATATATACCTTAATTTATTCAAACAAAAAAGTTAGATTTTTGATTTAAATGATAATAGGAACCACCCTAGAATTGATTATCATAAAAATGAGGGCCTAACTATAAGGAACAACTTTGTAGAAGAGACTTTTAGTCTAAAGTTTCAATTTCAGGCTCAAAACATATCATTCCACTTAAATCTGCATTCTGGACCACTGTGCACTGGCAATCGAAATTTTGATCGGCAAGTGATCACTACCGTGGGGATCTTGGATCACATTCCACGTGCAATCCAACGATAATGAGTTAGAGCAAAGTGTGAGGTCTAATTTACTTCCATTCAAGGATGATCTAGCCAAACGTGTTACTTCTCCATTGTTAAGAATTGTCATATTGAAGTTATCACAGAGGTCATATATCAAAGTAGAACGGTTGTCGTCATGCAGTTCCTCCCAGCCTGTACCGTGAGAATTAAAATCTCCCATAATCAACCGTGGAGTCGGAAGAACTGAACAGATATCTGAA